CAAGCACCCTCGACCTTCCTGCAGGGACTGTTTAAGCACTAGGGCTAGTACAAAGAGTGGACACAGGGAGATGGAAGAAGGTGCTATGTTTCTGTCAGTCATTAATCTTTTTTCTCTGTATTTAAGGTTTCTCCATCCTGGGTATGTTAGTTGGGCTCCGGTACCTAGAAGCAGAACCAGTATCCAGACAGAAGAAGAGAAACTGAGGCCAACATTACCACTTCTAACTTCATCGTCTTCCACCTTTGCTGTCTTTTTCCTTCGTCATAATTGATAAGTAACTGATATAATCAGAAAGTGTCCTTTTTCTTGAGCCATAGTCACATATTGGGTTTTTGTGTTTATCAAGTCTGACCGATACTTTTCCTCTGTTCTGTACTGAACAAACAGTAACTTCAGTTCCCATGTCTTTCTGCTCTGATTTCTTGTTTTCTGTTTCATCATCAGCCCCTTTATTCACTTTTAGCCTCTTAAGTTTTTTTTTATATTTTTAAAATTTTAAGATATAACATGCATACAGAAAAGTATATAACATGAATGTACAATTTAAAGAATAATTTTAAAGTGAACACTCTATAACTCCATCCAAGTCAAGAATTTGCCATCACCTAAGAAGCTCACCCCTTCCTGCAACCTCTTCTGGGCTTCCTTTTCCAGCCACCTTCTCGTTTTCCCTTTTATTTTCATTCCTTGATTTGACTTGTGTGGTGGGAACATGCGAACTGTGAAACTTAAAGCTGCTGCCCACCCAGAGCAGCTGTGACCAAGGGCTGCTTCAAGAGGTTGTCCACACAGGTTGGGCTCCTCTCTGCTGGACCCAAGACTCTGAACCATCCAAGGGACAGGCAGTTCTTCTAAGAAGGGCTCTCCTGTGCACGAGCAGGACCATGCCTCTCCTTCTGTCTACAGAAGGATGAGCGTTGGAAGAGTCTGGGATGTTTTTAGACCCTGTGCTAGGTTGTATTTGTGTAAGGAGTTTTGTAATAAACAGAAAAACCTTCTGCTGTGATCAGTCCTTGTACTTTGACCTCCCCTAAGACAAGAACACTCACTCCTGCCCTCTGACTTCTAGAACAGGAGAATCATACTTTCTACCTGATCAAATACACCACAGTGAATAGGACAGCTCAAGACACAGGTAGCCCTGGATCCCTCCACCTCCTTATTGTCACTTGCTCATTACTGTTGTATTCTAGAAGTCAAATCTTTCTCTTTTTCACTGCCTTCAAGATTCTGTGTTCACAACTGAACAGGCAGTACCCTGTCTTGTTTTCTTCCTAAAGAAGCAACAGATTCTTGAGAAAGCAGAGATAGAAAATAGAAGAAACACAGCTGCATGGCCATGAAAAGAAGGCAGCTAAACCCTGAGGATAATGCACTGGAATAGACAGTTGCCCTCTGAACACCACTGAGCACGCCTCCCACTGGCTGGGCCCTCATAGCATGTGTACCCAAAAGGCTATTTGTTATTTCAACAAGTATTTATTGGCCACTTCTCCATGCCAGACACTTGGGAAAGAGAAATGAACAATGTAGGCAATGCCTCTGCTCCTCTGGGCCTGACATTGTCCTAAAGATAACAATCAACAAACCAACACATGAAAGAACTTCAGATAGTGATAAGAATTCTACAGAAAACAAGTTATTTTGATTGAGAAGGGGGGGGACATAACTAAGACTAGATCATCAGAAAGTCCTCCCTGAGAAGGTGGGATTTGAACTGAGAGACCTGAATCCCCAGGGGTCGAGTATCTTAAGAAGGAGGCTTTTAAGGCAGAAGGAGCAGCAGCTGGAAGGTAGGAACAGTCTAGTCCAAGTAGTAAGATCAGTGTAACTATAGTATGGTGAAGAGTTAAGAAGTGAAAGGTAGATGATAAGGTCAGAAAGGGAAACAGGCCTTACAGAGATATGATAGGAAGCTTGACATTTGTACTTAAATACACCGGAAATTCTCTAGCAGTTAAGGGTTTTTGGTTTTTGTGGATTTTTTGAGACAAGTTCCAGCTCTGTCACCCTGGCTCAGTACAGTGGTGTGATCGTAGCTCACTGCAACCTTAGACTCCTGGGCTCAAACAATCCTTCTGCCTTAGCCTCATGCGTAACTGGGACTACAGGTACACGCCACCATGTCTGGCTAATTTTTCTGTTTTTGTAGAGATGGTGTCTTGCTCTTGCTCAGGCTGGTCTTAAACTCCTGACCTCAAGCCATCCTCTTGCCTCAGCCCCCCCAAAGTACTAGGATTACAGGCATAAGCCACCATGCCCAGCCACACAGTTAAGGCTCTTTAGGTGAAAGTAACAAAATCTAGCTTAAACAATAAAGATAACTACATTGGATCACATAACTGAAAAGTTATAAGATTATAGGCTTCAGGAATGGTTGGATCTAGACTCCAGTTCCAACTAGCCTGGGCAACATAGCGAGATCCCGTCTCTACAAAGAAATAATTTAAAAATTAGCAGGGTGTGGTGGCACATACTTATAATCCCAGCAATTTGGGAGGCTGAGGCGAGAGGATTACTCAAGCCCAGGAGGTCAAGGTTACAGTAAGCTAGGTTAACACCACTGCATTCCAGCTGGGTGACAGAGCAAGATGCTTTCGGGGGGGGGGGAGACTCCAGCTCCCTTTCTCTGTGACTCATTCAGCTATGCCAATGTTGGCTTCATCCTCAGGTCGGCTTCCCTTATGGTGCCAAATGTGCTTGCAGCAGTTCCAAGCCTTACATCCGCAGAACACTACATCTAGAAAAACAGTTCAGTGGTAAGACGTATCTTTTCCTCACTCACCAACTGTTGTAAGGAGATAGTAAGAAAAGCAATGGTCTTGTAATCCTAGTACCCTGGGAGGCTGAGGCTGGAGGATCTCTGGAAGTCAGGAGTTGGAGGCCAGCCTGAGCAAGAGTGAGACCCTGACTCTACCAAAAATAGAAAAATTAGCCAGGCTTGGTGGTGTGTACCTGTAGTCTCAGCTACTTGGGAGGCTGAGACTAGAGGATCACTTGAGCCCAGGAGTGTGAGGTCGCTATGAGCCATGATGACACCACTGTACTCTCGAGTGACAGAGCAAGACCCTTTGTCCGTTAAAAGAAAGAAAAAGAAGAAAATCATCTTACAGAGAGTTAATGTTTGAGTGTAGATCCACATGGAGACCTCTTAATAAAAGGAGTAAATGAAAACAAGATGATTTGTATCCTCTAACCATGTGGCATGTGTTAGAAATGTGATCCCAGACAAGTAAAACCAAGATTCCAAAGGATCTAAAAAGATACATAGTATATTTTGCAGACACGATCAATATTAGGTTTCTTAACAGCCCAGGCTTGGGTCCCTTCCCAAATGATGTAAAATAGAATTGTAATATTTTTTCTCATCAACTAAGAATTGCTAATAAATATAATGCCTGAATGCCACAGGCATGGTACAACTGGCTAGGGAAGAAATGTACAGAAGACTGGTAGCAGCAGCATATCCAAGTGATAACCATACGGTCAGCATGACTGGGGAGGAAGGACTGGCAGTAAGATCAAAAGAAAAATGATAATGCAGGACTGCAGATGTTGGGACTGAGCTGTGGGCTCTGGCCACAGCAAGCTGGTACGTGGCCAGGGTGGTCACAGAACAAACACTTCAGCCCCCCTTTGAGTTAGAGCCAGAAACGACAGTGGACGCCCATCAGCAGTTACATTCCAGCACAGCACGGAAAGAGGTCAGGGTCACATGTTGGTCGCTGAGTAGCAGCCCTCCTTGTAGGCAGACAGTAACCTTTACATCCTCGTCTTTAAAAAATATCCCACCAGGATGGTAACATCCATGGCAGTGGAGGATGTAGGTGCTCCTGCCCCAGTTGCTCCTCTAGCCTCAACCCCTAACCCTCCAGCCCTTGGCCGTACCTTAGACGCAGTCCTCAGGAATGTCTGATTGTCTTATGGGGACTACCAAAAGCCATCCCTGTCCCACCAAATGATAAGGCAGACCACTTTGAGAATCTTTTATTGCCTTAAAGCATCTGATATGACAAATAGAAAATATAAATTGTTTTTAAAATAAAGCAATGGGTTCAGTAAACATTAATACATTTTGAGGGTGGAAGAGTAAACATCTGTCTCCTTATCAAAAAGTCAGACACACCCTATTTTCATCTCTCTTCCAGCCCTCACTCCTTCCACCAAAAGTAGTGTGAACTTACTCTATTACACGCAGTATGTTCCTTCCATCCATTGCTCGAATCTGTATGCACACACACACACACACACCTGGCTACCCTCAGGGGCAGTGGCAAGCACTGCAGTACTGCAGCCCGCACAGGCTGCTCTGATGTGCTGAGGTCAGGGCAGTGGCCAAAGCAAGATGGCACAGTGGTCATGATCACAGCTGCTCAATGCACAGGAGAAATTACCAAAAATTCTCTTATTTTCAAGAGATACTATCAAAGCCCGTTAATAGAGTGAGACAGCAGGAAAGGAAGTCAGCTTGAGTCAGTTTAAAGGGAATTCCTTTAAATTTAGAATGTCTGATAAAGGTTATTGCTAGAAGGGGATAAGAAGAGGGATTGCACGTGCAAATACTGCCCCCACCAGAGGTAGGATAAGCTTGATTCAAGCAGACTCAGTTTCCATTTCAAAGGGCATCTTTCCTTCTATACCTTTCCTTTTACCTCTCAGAAGCACCTTTGGAATTGTCAGAGTGGAATGAATCAAGATTAGTTTTCAGTAAATGTTAGGGTGAGTTGGCTGGGATTGCCCCCCTCCTGATAAAACAAGCACTTGGGCTGATGGCTGGGTTTCCCAATGCAGCATCCCAATAAAGGCATCCGAGGTGACTATAATACACAGAAGTTCCTGGCAGGTACTTCTTTGTAAAGAAGAACCTTCCCATTCCCAATCAAGCTACCAGCATGTCCAAATATGGGCCTCCACAACCATGCTGGGAAGGGGGGCCCCAGCACTATCACACCTAGGTAGCTAGCCCTCCCAAATCAGTTTCTCCTTTGCGGCTACGGTGAAGTTTTCGGCAAGTTTATTGATGTTTGGTTTGATCAGCTCTTAGGAGAGAGGGGTTGGAGAGAGACCCCAATATTAGGCCAGAAGAATTTAGGCCCAAGAGTCCTGGTGTTCTTATGGAGCTTCCTCTCCCACAGAACGTGGTCAGACTGATGGCCGAGGAATGACCCCCAGGCAGGGCAGCTTGCACTTCTTACAGCTGGGCTTCATGGGAGGGTCTGAAGGCACTAGAAAAAGTTAATATCCTGAATAAGCTTTCTTCCTGTGAAAATTTTGCAATCATTCTCCATGAGGGATGGAGGTGAAAGGGAAGGCAAGGGACCAAGCTAGGATTGACTCCAATTTCTCTACCAGCCTCTCCCAACACTGGCTCCCGTAACCTAAAATTGGGTAGAGGCAGGAATCGAAGCTGCATTTGGTGAAAGGTGCAATTTTCCCCAACTAAATCATCCAAGCTCTTGAATAGGTTCCAGGAGGCATAGGCACCATTGTCCAAGCCACAGATATTCCAGCTGGTTCCCTCCAAAAGCTTCTCCAGTGAAGGTCTTTGTGCTGGCAGTGAGAGCCGTGCTGGAGGAAGAGGTGGGGTGTTCACGTTCCCTGGATCGCCGTGACCTTTCCCTGTCAGACGTGATTCTCCGATATGGCAGTGGGCACCTTGCTGATATTGCTCCCTTCCTCTTCCTCCTCCTGGAGTTTCTACAAGGCAAAACAAGCAGGCAGCCCTGTGGGTAAAAGGCACAGGACTCCACCCTGGCTGGAGCAACTTCCTGTCTATGGCTCTAATCAGTGGTGAATACAAGGGACAGAGGCCACTCAGCACCCCCAAGAGCCAAGAAAGGGAACAAGAAGCTACCAGCGCCTGCCGCAAATACACTCCCCAAACACACACCCCCACAATGTCACAAAGTCCTCATCAAAGAGAAAAAGCCTAGCTTTCTATATTGACACGGCTACCACAAACCATCCCACTCTGAATGCCACTATTCCAGGCTCACTCTTGGGATTGAAATGGAAGCAAAACCCACTTTCCCTCCCCATCCTGACAGCTGAAACCTCACCTCAACTACCCATCAAATAGCTGTAAACAGTGCCAGGTCTGTGACTCAGAATTTCCAGCTACCCCCGTTTGGGGGCAGACCCCAGGAGGAAGGATACTATTATATACATGGAATGGATGCCACAAAGAGAAAATTTTAAAGGCAGCATACATAATTGCATATGTAAACTCAATGTCTGAAAATGTGTACCTATTCTTTCTCCATAGAAAAAAGACTTTGGGGCAGGATGGCTTTGGCTTTCTTGGGGAAAGATGGTACAGTATTCGTTTATAGGAAAGTCTTCTGGGTCACACTTGTTAGGTGGGTTTGGAATTAAGTATGGCCTGGAAATCATCCTGTGGGACCCTTGGTACATACTGCCAACTTGGGCGTTTGCTATTTTTACCAGTTACCTCAAGGGTACTAATTCGCAAGAAGGCCTTGGGCGGCTCAGGCACAGTACCACATAGCCAAGGCCACTCAAGGCCTAGGGGACATGCGCAGGACCAAGCTGGAGCCCAGTGTCAAGTGGACAAATGGTACTGTCTTCCCTATGGAGCTGTAGAAATCCAACCTTTCCATTCTCAATCTTGCTAACCTTTTGGCACCAATTAGTCTTAGCCATGAGGAGCCTTCATTCAGGCAACTACAGCCTACTTAGTCTCTCTATCCTCTCGCTCTCTCTCTCACACACCTGCCTCCTCCAAAACCATCACCTTGAAGTCACAGAAACAGAGGTTAGTAGGGACGGAAGCTATTACTGTCTATGTGCTGGAAGAAAATAGGAAACCCAAACCCAGAAGATTTGCATAGTCAAGGTCAATCATCACCCTTGTCCCAAAAATCTTTCTCTCTTTTTACCTAACTATGCATCTCACTGATTAGAAAGAGCAGACCTGCTGCATGCTCTGTCTTCATCTGGCTCTGACAGTGAATTTGTCTGCAGGTCTCTGAGTTATACTGACTGCCATGGGGTATGTAATGACAGGGTTCCAGAGGAGAGCTTCTTGCTGGCGTCAGTCCCAGCATGACTCTGGCCTCCCCATAATACCAAGCTGCCACAGATGCCAGGGAGCTCTAGAGATGCATAGTGAGTTATCCAGGGACACAAGTCAGTTGAGCACCATTACCGGAACTTAGGCACCTAGTCCTAGTCAGCGCTATTTCCAATACCCCATACTCAAGGAGACCAAGCCAGCAACTCCTTGGTTAGCCAACCTGGTCCATGTGCACAAAGATCTGGCCGCAAGAGTAGTGAAATATTGGAACAACGGAAATATTAAACAAGATGGAAAAATACATATTTCCATAAATATATATATTATATATATTTCTATAAATGTATATTTCCATAAAATATATATTTCCATAAATATATGTAATATATTTCCATAAATATATATGTAGTATATATTTCCATAAAAATATATATGTAGTATATATTTCCATTAATATATATGTAATATATATATATATTTCCATGAGATTGTGGTAGAATGTAACATTGTGGAAAAAGTGTCAAGCTATTAACATATTAAGTAAACAAGCAGGGTAGAAAATGAAATGTACACAAGCATACCTACAGATTACAATACTGGAAATGCTACTAGCTAATCTTTGCGAAGTAGGATTACAGGTTATTCTTATTTTCATCATTTGTCTATATCTACCAACATAAACACAGGTTATAAAGCAAATGCAGAAAAATCTCATGTCACCTGACACAGTATGTCACATTCCAAATGGAAACCTTTTCAGCAGAAATCTACTTTAGTACAGGCACATTTTCCCAGGCTCACTGTATGCCTATTTACCAAAGTCTACCAAGTCATTACAGCTCCTCATACACAGCATGGGTGAAAGCCCATTTCCATGGTGGCCAATCCATGGTCCTCATGCAGGACTAGAGAACACCATTCCTGCATTAAGGCCTTCCGTCTCCCCAGTGGACCTGTTCTAGGCTCCTCCTTCCACATGCTACTTGCTGCTGCCTGCCAACTCTAGAACATGTCTTTTCTAGCAGAAGACAAATAGTAAAGAACTGAAGATTATCATCTATCTGCCAAAACGTATCCTTAAAACACTAAAAATATCTCTTGCAGATAATCATTTCTGCCTTAGAAAAGTGGCAAAGATTTTTCAAAATGATAAATACTCAGTGTTGACATTCATATATACTGCTAAAGCAATATCAATTGGTAGTATTGACAGTACTTTTCTATAGGACAGTTTAGCAACACATATCAAAATCTTAAAATGGGCACGACCACTGATCCATTTCTCAAGTAGGTACTATACTTAAGAACATGCACAAAGATTCTTCTTCCAACATATTAATCACAAGATTATTTATAACAATTCAAAACAACTTAATACCCACAGACAGGAAAATTGTTAAACAAATCATGGCTTATCCACAGAATGGAACACTATCCAATCTTTAAAGTATGTTATAAAAGACTAGTGGCCTGGTAAAGTGTTTTCAATAATTAAAAAAGTAAAATAGGATTCCATTTTTGTTTTGAAAAAGATATATATATACATACATATATACACACATGCCCACATATATGTTATATGTGGATAGAGACATGCATAAATAAATGCAAAAATAGCATAACATCTCATCTCTAGATGGAAATACAGGGTGATTTTTAAAATTTTGTACACTTCTGTATTTTTTACTTTTTCTACAAAGAACATGTATTACTTCTGTAATAAGTTTTATTTGTTTCTTTTTTTTAGAAATATCCTACTTTTTTATTCTTCCTCGGATTTGAAATGCCTTCCATCCTCGCTCAGATTTGATCCCTAACATCTTGGTGAAAGTGGTCCCCAGTTGACTAGAGCAGATGGGAAACACTTTGTGGTCCTAGATCATACTCCTGGTCCTCTGCTCTTCTACCACTGTCAGCTCCTGCTTCCTGACTTGGCCTTTCAGAGCCTACGGCAAACCGACTGGCTCCATCCAACAACCCTGCCTAAGGGGCTGTCATGTGCCACGAGAGCCACCGCCATGCCAGCATGGCTGAGGCAGGCTTCCACCTCTACTCTCCAGCCACCTACACTAGGCTGAAGCAGTGGAGCCCGAGCCTGAGGACTTGGCCCAGGATCCGAGGGGTGGGTGCTGCTCAGCAGATATGACAACAGCAACCAGAGCAGGAGCACCATGAGGAGGTAGGAAGCAGAAGCACCCAAGAAAGAGCAGCAGAAAAGAAAGGCCAAAAATGCCCACCCAGGAAACCCTTGGGATGCCATGTTTGTGAGTGGTGATCTGGTCTCTCAGCCACCACAAAACCAGTCCCTTTGGGGGTTCTCCCTGCCCCACCTACGTTGCCACATCCTCATCAAAATCCTCGGCCCCAGACCTTGGCTCCCCAAGTTCCCACATACTCACATTCTCAGGAGTTTCTTTGTTTGCTTTCTGTCTCCGAAGATCTGCCCTAATGAATGCTGAGGTTGAGAGACAGAGAAGGAAGAGTGACAAAAACACAGAGTCATCAAGTTCATCCAAGACAGGGACCCTCATTTTCCTGAGGGTCACAGGTTTACCAAGCCTACTTCAGATTTCAAGGGAGCTGGGGGCACTCTCAGCCAACTTGATAAAGCCCAAGGATTGCTGCTGTCCCTGATGGGTGGAAGCCAATGATGTTACTATGCTTCACTTATTCGTCACTTATATTTGCTGGGGACTTTGCACACATTTTTTAAATTATCACAACAATCCTCATTTTACAGATTAAGGAAACAGAGACTCCTAGAGGTTGGTCTATGTGACCAAGGTCAATAGCTGTGGGAGTCAGTGTCACAACCTGAGATTCAAATATGGACCTCCTGGCTCCAAAGCCCATGCTCATTCCACTGTGGTCCCAAATTACCAACAGCCTTGCCCATGGGCAGCCTGGGACTCGTCTTGCCCTCATGCCCCAACTTACCAGTGAGGGCCGCTCCAAGGGTGAGGAACACGCACAGGAAGATATTCCCAGGCATGGTTCCATAATTGTCGATAATCTGGCCCTGGGAGATGGTGAAGATGATCCCAAATACCTGGAAAGGCATAAAGAAGACAGGAAACAAGGGCCCAATCACCTAAGCCATGGGAGAATTGAGCTGTCATATAACACAATGCCAGTCCAGCCAGGCAATATTCTCTGATTTAAACAAAGTAAATAAGAGCTCTACCTGTGCAGACACATTGAGGAGTCCAGATGACATGCCTTCTGATTCCGGATATGTGAGCTCCACGGCAAACTCGAATCCCAGGGGGAGATAGCCAGTCATAAAGAAGCTGAAGTCCAGAACAGAGAAACAAGGTGATGAAGAACTTCCAGAACAAGAAGCATGGACAGCCTCCCTCCTCTCTTAGAACTCCTCCTTTTTAGTTTCTTCCCACCAAGACATGCCAGGCTCTTGAACAACCTGGGCATCCCCTACATGGCTGTACCAAGGAAAGGGGAGCCCTACAGGTCAGGAGGTTCATGTGTCGGCCTGTGTTGGGCAGGCCTCCGGGATCCTGTGGGAGGTGGAGCTGAGCAGAGACGCCTGTGAAAGGGGTATTGTTTCCTATGTTTTCTTATACAACAGGTCTAGAAAATTTAATTGTTTTATTTTTTTTGTAGACACAGGATCTCACTATATTTCCCAGGCTGGTCTCAAACTCCTGGCCTCACATGATCCTCCCACCTTGGCCTGCCAAAGCTCTGAGATTACAGGCATGAGCCACCGTGCCTGGCCTTCAGAATGGTTAAGTGATGTGTTTGCGGTCCAACAGACAGTCAGCAGCAGAACTGAGACCAGGACCCAGAGTTTCTGATCTAATCCCTGTGTATTTTCTATGACCCCCATGTTGTCTCAGACAAAGCTAAAAATGACTCTAAACATTTCCTAGTCTCTCAGAGGTCTTGAAGAATATACTCCATGCTTCATTTTATCCTAACAGCATGACCAACCCAGGCTGCCTTTTGAAGTGCTGCAAATTTTACCAGGACTTCTGGACACCATTTCCACATCTCGTGAGGTCAGTAAGAAGGCAGCAAAGGGACTGATATTGCATCCTAGGATGTACTGGATGAATATTGGCTCTAGGAGCTATGGAATGGTGTTTCTAATGAAACAGGTCAGAGGAGAAGCTTACCCCATTGTGCCGGCAGTGATGAACACTACCCACAGGTGTCCCAGGTTCAAGGTCAACGTGTAGACCACCATGCCCACCAGAGTCATGATGTAGACCACCAGGGTTGTCTCCCTACAAGTAGAGACAAAGAAGTTGAGTCATACACTTCTGACCTTAACAGGATCAATCATTCATTCATTCCACAAGTACCTATTAGGCACCTGCTGTGTGTTAAGTCCTCTGCTATGTGCTCAGACATCTCTCATAGAACTTTCCATAAGGGTGATGGACACTGAGCCAATGATTACACAAAAAATATAATTACATCATGAACAATGCTACAAAGGATAAAACTAGGGAAAGTATGAAGCCATCTTGTTATATGTCTGTTCTCTTCCTGCAGAACTCCCTCAACAATATCAAGCTTCTCCCTGACTCGCCATGTCCTACCCACAGACAAGAAGGGCACAGCCTTTCCTTCCCCTTTCTCCCACCAGAAAAAAAAAAAAAACAGGACAAACACCAGCCATGGTGAGGTGGCAGTGATGGTCAGGACCACTCCAGAAGCCATCTGATTCCACTTGTCTGCTTTGTCCCAAGACCCCATGACAATGTTGAACAATGATCTAATTTTTAGATGTTCTCTGTCACCTGCAAGTTCTTCCTGTCCCTACCTGCACAGGCCCAACATAGCTTTTCCTGTTGAATCTCAACTACTCCATCCCATATGGTGGGAGCTAACAGAGAACATTTTCTCACCCTGAACAAGTGCTTGATTTCCAAAGCCAAAATGAGAAAGCTTCATCCACTCCCTGTTACATTTCCCATTGTCTGTCCCCTCAGAAGTACCGTCAGCAAGTCTTGGTTTCCATTTCAGGCTCGTCCCTGCTTTCGTCCCTCCACATACTTCTCTTACCATATCGCCGACTAAGGACTCTGCTGCAGCCCTGACTTCTGCAATTAGACCTGCATTCTTCTCCCTGAACTGTCTATGGCAGGGCACAGGCTCTGCACATTCCTCTGCCCTCCTACCATGAACATCAGGACTCAGGTGATGAAAGCTTAAAGCCTTCACACATCTCCCCTAAAGCCACAAACATGGTAAGTGCAACAGGGGCACACTATGGTTATGTCAAACTAATACCTACAAGTATTGGATGTCACATTCTGTTAAGCACTTTACATGCGTTTATGATTTCAATTCAACTCTTACAAAAACCCTGGGGGTGTGACCTAGGGATAATTTTACCAGTGAGGAGACTGAGGCTCAGGCCAGTGAAGTTACTTGTCCAAAGCCACCAGGTGAGTAAATGCAGAGCTGGGATGGGAACTCAGAGCTGGATTTGAAACCTGTGCTCTTCTACCACTGCATACAGGAATAACAATATACCATGTGGTTGCATCTTTGGAAAAGCTCCAGGTCAGAGCCTCCAAAGGATGCCATGCCCACCTGGTGCTTCAAAGGAGCTGCTGAAGGTAGAGCAGCTTCCTCCTTCCTTCATTCTTTCACCCTGTACCCCACATTCTATTTCACCCACCCTGCAGAGAGCCACTGTTTTGTTTGTTTGTTTGTTTGTTTTTGGAAACCAGTCTTTCTCAGTGATCTCACAAACTCACTGGATACTGAACTCTTTTGGCCATGTTAGTTTAACCATAGCTTCATCATAAACCACTGACCAGTTTAGAAAAACTATTTCTAGTCCCAGCCTGAGATAAACAGACCTCACCTCTCAATTTCCAGAGTCCAAACCTAACTAGACAAATCTGGGAGCCTTCAAGAGAGGAGAACTGGCACCAAAATGGTGGGATCACAGAGCTCTGTCCTCCCACTGAGAGTTGTCCTTACTCTGCCTGGGCAGTGGCACAGGGAAGAGAGTGCCTCATGCTGACCACTGAATTTAGACATCAGTCAGTGACACTAGGAACTGATGACGTCTAGGTTCTGAGAAGGGCTGAGCAAGGGTCCTCCCCAGGCCTTTCATTCTATTTTCTAATTCATCTGAATCATTCAGCTGCCCACGTCCTGGCCCAGCCAACATTCCAATCCCTCCCTTCTGCCACAGAGCACGCCCTGCAAGAAGGGACACTGCTGTTCACTGATTTGGGGGTGGCCAGTCCTCACTACTCTTGTGTCTGGTTGAAGCGACTAACAGATGGCAGAGACGAGATGGCGGCCAAGCTCCGCCAGCAGTAATTAAGCGGAGCCAGGCTCCTCGCCACGTTACACCAGGCGGCCACATCCCTAGGGACAGTCTCAATTGGCCTTTGACTAGGGCAGCGAGAGTGAGACCTGGTCTGACCAGAGCCTCACAGAAGCGGGTCTGTGTGGCAGAGAACAGGTCTGCCACTGTCTGTCGCCTCCAGACTTGGGGAACTTTGGAGGCCTTGACAAAGCAGCCCAGAACACCACCCTGCCCCAGGGCAGGACGGCCTGGCAGCTGCCCCACCAGCCGGTGCTAATCGAGCTCCCAGTGCAGGGGGGGCACTGGGAATTCACAAGAAGGGAAGGATGTTGGGCTGCTGTTTTCCAGAACATTTTCTCCAAAGCCAGCTGCTGAATTGAGGCGCCCAGATTGCTTTTTACAAGTGCAGATTCCTCTACTGAATCGGCATCCGTGGCTATTCAGTAAAGGGCCCAGGAATCCCTTTTTTAAAAAATTGTTATGGGTACACAATAGTTATGTATGTTCTGATACAGGCATACAATGTATATTAATCAAATGAGGGTAATTGGGGTATCCATCACCTCAAGCATTTATCATTTCTTTGTGTTAGGAACATTGCAATTCCATTCTTTTAGTTAGTTTCAAGTACCCCCTAACTTATTATTGATTACAGTCACTTTGTTGTGCTATCAAGTATTATTCATCCTATCCAACTAACTATCTAACCATACTTTTGCACCCATTAACCATCCTCACTTTATCCTTCCTCCCTGCTACCCTTCCCTGCCTCTGGGGGAGAGTAGAACCATCATTCTACTCTCTATCTCCATGAGATCAATTGTTTTTAATATTTAGCTCCCACATATGAGTGAGAACATGTGAGATTTGTCTTTCTGTGCTTGGCTTGCTTCACTTAACATAATGTTCTCCGGTTCCATCTATTTTGTTGCAAATGGCAAGATTTAATTCCTTTTGTGGCTATATAATATTCCATTGTATCCTACGTACCACAATTTCTTTATCCATTCATCCACTGATGGACAATTAGGTGGATTCCATATCCTGGCTATTGTGAATAGTGCTGCAATAAACATAGGAGTGCAGATCTCTTCTTAATATACTGACTTCCCCTCCTCCTGTGAATATATACCTAGCAGTGGGGTTGCTGGATCAGATGGTAGTTCTATTTTTAGTTTTTTGAGGAACCTGCATACTGTTCTGCATAGTGGTTCACTGATGTCCCTTCCCACCAACAGCATACGAGGGTCCCCTTTCCACACATCCTCACCAGCATTCTTTATTGCCTGTCTTTTTGGTTTTTTGGTTGTTTTTTTTCTTGTCGTTTCAAGCTCTTAGGAACACAAATTGCCTGTCCTTTTAATAAAAAGCTATTTTAACTGGGGTAAGATGATATCTCACTGTAGTTTTGATTTGCATTTCTCTGATGACTTATGATGTTGAGCACATTTTCACATACCTCTTGGCCATTTGTATGTCTTCTTTTGAGAAATGTCTTTTCAGCATTTTTTAATTGAATTATTTGATTTTTTTCCTATGGAATTGTTAGAGCTCCTTAAATATTCTAGTTATTAATCCCTTGTCAAACAGGTAGTTTGCAAATATTTTCTCCCATTCTGTGGGTTGTCTTTTCATTTTGCTTATTGTGTCCTTTGCTGTGCAGACGTTTTTTAGCTTGATGTGCTCCCATTTGTCCAATTTTGCTTTGGTTGCCTGTGCTTTGGGAGAATGACTCAAGAATTCCTTGCCCAGACCAATGTCCTACACCATTCCCCCAGTGTTTTCTTTTAGTAGTTTCATAGTTTCAGGTCTTATATTTAAATCTTTAAGCCATTTTGATTTGATTTTATTATATGGCAAGAGATAAAGGTTTCATTCTTCTGCATATGGATATCCAGTTTTCCCAGCATAATTTATTGAAGAGACTGTCCTTTCCCCACTGTATATTCTTGCACCTTTGTGGAATATACGTTCCCTGTAGACAAGTGTATTTATTTCTGGGTTCTCTATTCTGTTCCATTGGTCTGTGTGTCTGTTTTTATAGCAGTACCATGCTGTTTTGATAACTATAGCTCTGTAGTATAATTTGAAGTCAGGTAATGTGATTCCTCCAGTTTTGTTCTGTTTGCTCAGGATGGCTTTAGCTAGCTATTCTGAGTCTTTTGTGGTTCTATATAAATTTTAGGATTATTTCTATTTCTGTGAAAAATGTCATTCGTATTTTGATAGGGATTGCATTGACTCTATAGATTGCTTTGGGTCATATGGTCATTTTAATAATATTCATTCTTCTAATCCATGAGCATGAAATATCTTTCCCCTTTTTTTGTGTCCTCTTCAACTCTTTCATCAATGTTTTAGAGTTTTCATTATAGATATCTTTCACTTCTTTAATTAAGTTTATTCCTAGGTATTTTATTTTATTTGAAGATATTGTAAATGGGATTACTTTCTTGGTTTCTTTTTCAGATTGTTCACTGTTGGCATATAGAAATGCTACTGATTTTCGTATGTTGATTTTGTATCCTGCAACTTTATTGATTTTGTTTATCAGTTCTAATAGTGTTTTTGTGGAATCTTCAGGCTTCTCTAGATATAAGATCATATCGGCTGCAAACAAGGATAATTTGACTTCTTCCTTTGCAATTTCTTTCTCTTGGCTGATTGCTCTAGCTAGAACTTCCAGTACTATGTTGAATAGCAGTGGTAAAAGTGAACATCCTCATCTTGTTCCTGATCTTAGAGGAAAAGCTTTCAATTTTTCCCCATTCAGTATGACACTAGCTGTGGGTCTGTCATATATGTATTTTATTTATTTATTTATTTAGAGTCAGGGTCTTGCTCTGTCACCTGGGCTAGAGTGCCATGGCATCATCATAGCTCACTGTAACCTCAAACTCCTGGGCTCAGCATTCCTCCTGCCTCAGCCTCCCAAGTAGCTGGGACTAT